TCGTAAGATTATTCGGAGTCGTTAACAAGATATTCAAAAAATTTCATTCGAAAAAGCTAGACATGTTGTGAAACTCAAAATTTTTAATGTCAAATTTTTCAGAACTATCTACTGAGCAGATAGAACTTTGTAATTCTGGTATGGATACTAGTAGTAACTAGCGTATTCCAATTTAAATCGTTTATAAATGTCTCTCTAGCCCAGGTTAGGGAATGGTGGAACGTGTTCGTTGGGTGAGAAAGATGATGATGATGATGATGATGATGATGATGATGATGATGATGATGATGATGATGATGATGATGATGATGATGATGATGATGATAAAACATCAGAACTCTGACCAAATTAACTCTTTTAAAAATATTATTTGGTGTAGAAAGTATTAACGATGTTAAACCCTCAAATGGCAATAGATATGGCCGTGATAGGCAACCTAAAACCACTCCATCAACATAAATTTTAATCTATACAAGAACGAAATAAAGGTAGGAGGAAAGCTAAGCGACCTATACAATTATTCCTAGAATATTTCGCTCTCAACTGCTCTCTTAGGCTTTCTAAGAGAAAAACAGTGTGCATCACTATAACAATATTACATTTATTAATAGAGCTCTTGCATCTTTTGCAAGCCTACCATTAAAAAAAGCCCCGAAGCAATCTAGATGAAATAGTGAAACAGAACAAAACCATTGTTGAGAGTCAAGAACAATAAGACAGAGAGTTCAAGTTTGGTAAAAGTTTTACGGTGTTCATTACTGCACAAGAAAAAGAGAAATGGTCAAAATGGCATGTGATATAGATGTCGCCTATATATTGCACAAAAAAACCAACAACATCAAAATCATCACCATCATCAACAACAACAGCAAAACAATATCAACAAAGACAAAAGCCATATAACTCTGAAGCATTTTGACTGCCAAGAGAAAACCCCCAGCCCACACAACCTCTTCAACCTACCAAAGTAATAAATCAAAACAAAACAGAGTAAAACAAATAACTTTAAACGCAGAAACATTTTTTAAAATCAATATCAAAACAACCAAAACTGGTTCTACATAATAATATTATTATTGAAAGGCAGACGTCTTCCAGAGAGATCCCAGTCCAGGGGAAGTAACAATTGTAGTACATGTATTGCCAAAATTTACAAGGGGACTGGTATGCTTACCTCGCTTTGGATATATAGATAACGATTGTCATCATCATGAAGTGCCGCGACAGACATCGGCGATCATGGTTCTCCATTTATTCCTTTGCTCGGAAGCTCTTAAAAAAGGCTACGTTTCATTGATCTTTCCCTGTTACCCATTTGTTTAGGTTCCCTAAGTAGGCTGCTCTGGGCCTACCCCTGCCTCGTTTGCCTTCAATTTTGCCAATGTGGGCTAGATGTTCAAGACCCTTTGTCTATTCAGGTGTCCCCAAAACTACAAAATTGTCCATTTCCTGATTTAACGATTGTACAACGGCCAAAATTCACAAATTTAAAAATGAGAATGACATGCTCATTTCGCTTTGGCTACGGATAATGAGTGCACTAGATCTACATGTGCTGCCAAAATTCACAACGGCACTGACATGCTTACCTCGCTTTGGATATGGATTTCTTTTGTTTCTTCTCCAAGCCGTGCAGTCTGAGCTCCATGTCTGCAAACATAGCCGCCCGCTTCAAGTGTTCCTTCTCTGTCTTCGTCTTCTCGCTCTCCGCCTCCGTCACCTGTGGGGTGTATGGCACTGAGGAAAGCGCGCTCATATGACCTTAGCAGTTGCGAGCGCCGTAAAACCTTATACTACTACTACTACTGAGTAAATACGTTGAGCTACATCGTTGAAAAGCGTGCTAAATCTTGTTTTATTTCGTTTTTAAATTATTTGAAAACATACAGTTTAACTTTCTTTCAAGTACTCATTCAACTCTCTCTCTCTCTCTCTCTCTCTCTCTCTCTCTCTCTCTCTCTCTCTCTCTCTCTCTCTCTCTCTCTCTCTCTCCCTCCCAATCTAGATCTATCTATCTATTTATCTATCTCTATCTCTATCTCTCTCAGTGTATCTCTTAGAGAACTTGGGACCATTTCAGGATACTGGGCTAAATTCGAACGCTTAGTTATATAAACTCTTAGTTGACTCAAACATGTAAGAAGATACAGGTTTCTGAGCTTTATATGTTAGGCTCTTCGCTATTGACCTTAGGGTACGTGGGTTCGATTCCCGAGTGAAAACGTTTTTAAAGAGAGTACCTCGTCTGTCTGGTTGACCCTATTTGGACAGGGTCAAAGCAGCCAGCCTCCTACAAGATCTCAATTCTGTCGACGTGGGCGGTAAATATTTACAAGGTGGGTGGTTGGCGGGTGCATTTGTGTGGTTTGTTCCTTCTTTTCTAGTTAACGCCTATCATCCTTATCTCTTAGTTTAGTTTAGTAAGAGTTTTACGCGCTCACAACTACATAAGGTCAAATAGGAGGGCAAAAAGTCATTATCTTTTTTCCTTCTTTTCTTTGTATGTTACTCTTTAAAAACACCCCCAATCTTAGGCTCTTATATCACCTATTTCAGTTCCAAATGCCGTAAAATCCTTAATAAAACAAGACAAACGTTTACAATCATTATAATCACTACACGCACGTCCTCTCCTTCTTTTCTTTGTTTTACTCTCTACAAAAATCTTCAGTCTTCGGCTCTTATATCACCTTTTAATGTTGCAGGCGCCGTAAAACACTTACTAAAACAAAACAAACATTTACAATCATTACAATCATGCAATCAAAATAATTACGCGTACATACTCTCCTCTTTCCCGTCTCTTAAATAGCCTAATAGTGTTGATAGGGGTATTAAACGTATGCCATTATATTTCTTCTCTTTCTTTTCTTTGCATGTTACTCTCTAGAAAAACCTTCAGTCTTCGGTTCTTATATCTCCTATTAGAGTTGCAAGCTTCATAAAACTCTCACTAAAACAAAACGAATATTTACGATCATTATAATCGTTACAGGCACATGCTCTCCTTCTTTTCTTTGTATGTTACTCTCTAGCAACACCCCGATCTTCGGCTCTTGTATCACCTTTTAAAGTTGCAAGCACCGTAAAACTTGTACTAAAACCAAAGAAACCCCCGCCCCCCCCACTTTTACAATCATTATAATCATGCATTCATTCTATTATAATCATCGTTTTGTTTTGTTTTGTTTTAATCTTTAGAACCATTCCACGCACGTACCCTGGTAATGTTGTAAAACAAACATTTGCAATCATTATAATTATGCAACCATCAATTTGCAATCATTATAATTATGCAACCATCATATTATAATCAATCTTTTTTGTTTTGTTTTAATCATTAGAGCCATTCCACGCACGTACCATTGTGCTGTTGTTAGCACCGTAAAACGTTTACTAAACCCCCCCCCCTCCCCCAAAACGTTTACAATCATTATAATCATGAAATCATTCCATTATATTAATCATTTTGTTACCCTAGTAATGTTGTAAAACAAAACAAACATTTACAATCATCATAATCAAGCAATCAATATTATTAACCTTTTTTTTGCTTTGTTCTAATCATTAGAACCATTCCATGCACGTCCTCTAGTGCTGTCGATAGCAACCTAAAACGCTTACTAAGACAAAGCAAAACTTTTACAATCATTATATTCATCGAATCATTCCATTATAATCATCATTTTGTTTTGTATTGTTTTGTTTTAACCATTAGAGCCATTCCACGCACGTACCCTGATAATGTTGTACTACAAAACAAACATTTGCAATCATTATAACCATTCAATCAATATTATAATCATTTTTTTGTTCGTTTTGTTTTAATCATTAGAACCATTCCACGCACGTACCCTGACCAGAGCGTGGTTGAGCATCTCCTGCCAGGCAGCGGACAGACTCACAGCCCGATCGTCCATCAGGCGTAGCTCGGCCAGGGAGATGGTCTCTTTGGCCGCCAGGTACACTCCGTTCGCCGCCTGGAACTTCCGGGCGGACTGCAGCGCCTCCTGCTGGGCCTAGGAAAAGGGGGAGAACACTGGTTTTAGTAAGGGTTTTACGGCTCTTGTAACACAGGCAGGTCATATATATAGGTGTCGAAGATAAAAGGGGGTTAATAAAAATAATAATATATACAAAGAAAAGAAGGAGAGATGAGGACGACAGATGATTATGGAGCAAACCACACCAGAGCACCCGTTAACCACCCACAGATGGAAAGAGAGACAGACAGATAGATAGATAGATAAATAGATACCCGGTAGATAGATAGATCGATAGATAGATAGATAGATAGATAGATAGATAGATAGATAGATAGATAGATAGATAGATATCGAAAGCTTCTTTTTTTATGTTTGTTACTCTCTTGTAACACCTCTAATCTTTTGGCGCTCATGTGACCTTGTGCAGTTGCGAGCGCCGTAAAACCTCTACTAAAATATAAAAAAACAACTCTCAGCTCAGGTTGACATGCAGGGTAAGAAGCCCGCCTACTGGATGACCTAAATTGCGTCGATGGGGACGTAAAAACAACTAGGCCTACGTAAAAGAAAAACACGTTGCTTACACACCTTTTTGGCAGCCTCTCTCAGCTCAAAGTAAGGTCTAGCTTTCTTGATGCTAGAGGCGGATTTCTTCTTAAGTAGTTCCAACTGTTGAAAGCTCTCGCTAAAGGTCATCTGGTACTTCTCGCGAGCCGCCTGTAGAGAGTTTTAGATACGTATATAAAATATGCATGACACGAGGAGCCGTCCACTCTTTCGGTGAGTGCGTTTTCTTTTTCCTTCCTTTCGTTTTCCTTTTATCATGTCTGTCTGTCTGTCTGTCTGTCTGTCTGTCTGTCTGTCTGTCTGTCTGTCTGTCTGTCTGTCTGTCTGTCTGTCTGTCTCTCCTCTCTCAATCTCTTCTTCTATCTCTTTGCCTCTATTTTTCTGTCTATCTCGATTCTTCTTCTTCTTCTTCTTCTTCTTCTTCTTCTTCTTCTTCTTCTTCTTCTT